TGTCTGTTCAATATATATCCCTCCAAATTATCCTCTATCTTTAAGAGAACTAATAAACCTCAGAGAACAGCTCCCACAACCCTTCATCATGCTGGGAGATTCTAATGCCCATAGCCCTCTTTGGGGAAATGAACCAACTGACACTAACGGTAAAATCATAGATTTTTAAACAAAAACCAATACTAATATTTTTAACGACAATTCCCCAACATTTCAAAATTCAAATAACCTAAACTTTTCATCCATAGATTTAACTCTATGTGATCCAGATCTAATTCCAGCCTTTCAGTGGTCCGTCCTGGACGACCCACACGGATCGGACCACTTCCCCATCAACCTAATTCCAGACATTCCACACCGAACTCCTATCCCGGACCGTTTCAATCTTAAAAGAGCAGACTGGGATGGGTTTCACATGGAATGTCTCCAGAAACTCAATCCATCTCAAACACAAACTTTTGATCGATTAAATTAAACCCTTCTCGAAATCGTTCAAAGACACATACCAAAATTATCCACCAAACCCCGAAAAAATAAATGTTGGTTCACTGAAGACTGCCAAAAAGCTGTTGCGGCCAAAAAATCAGCTCTCAGGAAGTTCGTCAACTCTAAAACAAACGAAGACCTCACAAATGTCAAAATTGCACGAGCCCAAGCACGCAGAACAATCAGAGCAGCCAAAAAACATATTTTCGCAATTATGTTTCTAAAATAAACAACAGCACACCACTGCACAAAGTCTGGAAGATGATAAAGAAATTAAAAGGTACTAAAAGAGACACAATCAAACACATCTTAAAACCAAATAACTCCTTCGCAGACACAGAAAAAACAGTAGCTGACTGTATAGCATCAACCATCTCCGGAAATTCTTCTACCCAAAATTACAATCCGGAATTCAAAAAAGTGAAAATGTCTTCTGAAAAAACAACTGTTGATTTTACCTCTTCAAATGAAGAAAACTATAATTGCAGCTTTTCTCTTGATGAACTAAAATGTCACATTGCAGAACTATCCAACACAGCTCCAGGCCCTGATCAAATACATGTACACAACGAAATCATCAAACATCTCCCAGACGAAACACTCCTATTACTCCTTGATATTTGCAACGAACTCTGGCATCCTCAACAATTTCCGAACAGTTGGCGTCGTGCCACTATTATTCATGTATCAATCTCAAAACCAGGAAAAGATCACTCTAACCCTTCAAACTACCGTCCCATGATATTTACAAACTGTTTCTGAAAACTTATGGAAAAACTTATTAACAAACGTCTAATGTGGTTTCTCGAAACTCAAACTCCGTATCCAATTTCCAATGCGGTTTTCGCAAAAATCGCTCTACTATTGACCATCTCATCCGACTTGAAAATTTCATTCGGGAAGCTTTCATTCGGAAAGAGCACCTTGTGGCTATTTTTTTTTCGACTTTCAAAAAGCCTTCGACACCACATGGAAACATGGTATTTTAAAAGACCTGCTTGACTTGGGCTTACGTGGAAATCTTCCCGAATTTATACGAAACTTTTAGAAAGATTGATCATTTCAAGTAAAAGTAGGTTCAACCCTATCAAATTTACACATCCAAGAAGAAGGCGTCCCCCATGGAAGCATCTTATCACCCATTCTTTTTAAAATCAAAATCAATTCCATCACAAAAACCCTTCAATACAATATTGACTGCTCACTTTACGTTGACGACTTCCTGATCTGCTATAAATCAAAATCTAAAATAGGTCACATTGAACGTCAGCTTCAACTCCATTAACTGGAAACTTGGGCAAACGGGCACGGGTTCAAATTTTCTACAACAAAAACAAACTGTACATTTTTGTCTGTCGCACAAGTGTGTGCAACAACCAGATTTTTATATTTGTTTGGGGAGAAAATTTCAGTTAAAAGACAAGCTCGTTTCCTGGGCGTAATCTTCGACAATAAACTTTCTTTCCTACCACACTTGAAAGACCTAAAGACGAGGTGTCAGAGTGCTCTCAACGCCTTAAAAGTATTATCCAATCCCGAAAGGGGAGAAGATACTGAAATACTTCTTCAACTTTACCGTTACCTTGTCCGTTCCAGCCTGGACTATGCCAGTCCTGTTCATGGATCAGCTAGAAAGTCTTACCTTAAAATTTTAAACCCTGTTCAGAAGCAAAGCCTTCGCCTTGCCATTCGCCTTGCCCTAGGCACTTTCCGTACTTCACATGTAGAAAGTTTACAGGCAGAAGCTCATATGATGAACCATCTCTAGAACTTAGAAAGAAAAAACTCTCTTTGCAGTAGGCCTACGCTTTGAAACTTAGCTCAGTACCCCAAAACCCAGCCCACAAATGTGTCTTTAGCCTTTCCGAAGATCTAAAAACTCTATCCTCCTTAGGAAATAAAGTAAGCCCTTTCGGAATAAGATTTCAGAACAATCTCCAAGACATCGATTTTTCTAAAGACATAATCGAGCCGTTTGCCATGTCCAGCATACGTCCATGGCTTTAACCAAACCAAACATAGATACTAGTCTTGAAAAACACAACAAAAAGTCTACAGACAAAACTACATGCCTAAACTCATACAAACAGCTAATAAATAGATACCCTGCAGCAGAGAAACTCTTTACAGACGGATCCAAAAATGACTACACAGTAGGAACTGCTGCCCCTTGCATCGCCACACAGCTTAAGCTTAAGGAAACTCCACCCTGAAGCCTCAGTCTATACTGCTGGGGCTACAGCTCTTGAAATGGCCCTAAATATAATAGATCAATCAACCAAGTCTACTGTCCTACTCCTTTCAGACTCTCTCTCTCTTGTCTGAAATCTTTAGAGCGCTCTGACACCTCCGACAACATAATTTTAAAACTTATAATTAAACTGCATTTTCTACTTCAGTCTGGAAAAACTATTACAATAGCTTGGCTTCCAAGCCACGTCAAGTAGACATTGATGGCAACGAAGCCGTTGACCAGTTTGCGAAAGAATCTCTAAAACTACCTGAAAACAAAAATAGTAAAATCCCTTTCTCTGACATGAAACCTAAAGTAAAAGAACACATCACATCTTACTGGTCCCAAATTTGGAATCAACAAATACACAACAAACTCCATTACATTCAACCGAAACTTGCGCCCAGGAAACCCCTGTCTCTCCTACGAAGAGAAAACGTAATTTATACAAGATTAAAGATAGGACACACGCACGTCACGCACAAACATTTACTCGAAGGAGAGGAAGCTCCTTTTTGCGTGGCGTACAGCACATATTTCACGCACAGTTCTGCACATCCTAACGGAATGTGTCGAATTTAATTATGTGCGTAAGAAATATTTTAAATGTAAAGATATCAAAACCCTTTTTGACATTGTTGACCCAAGAAAAATGTTAAGTTATGTTAAAGAAATAAGACTTTTTAATAAGATATAAAAATACATAGCCATACAATGTAGTTGTCAGCGTTCATATCTAACATACACTGAAATTGATATTGTATATAAATACAAATGTAAATAAGTCTTTACCATATTTACAAAAGATTTTCATTAAATGTCTGTCCGTCCTTTTAGCATAATGATGATAGTGTGACCGTGTGCGGTTACGAGCTCCAAAAAACTCTTACTAAGACACGTCTGATTTTGTTGCGATGAAACCTGTTGGCGGTTAAATGACCAGAATTGGGTCGATAGTGCCGTAAAACACCTACTCAATCAAAATCAATTCCTTTGTTGAATCCAAGTTTCACTGTAAAAGTTAAAATTGTCAGCAAGATGCAGTGTCGTGCTTAAATCTTCCACCAACGTTTGATATTTGCTGAACATCCCTATACTTTGCATTCCATTTAATTTTATGTCACAATATAATCGAGAAAAATATTTTGTTATTTTGAGAGCCCTTTCCGATCATATTATTATCATGATTATAACGGAGGGATCAAATCGCTATTGACAAGTAAATCGATCCACATGCTGGTACCAAGGGTGGCACCTTGGCATATTAGTTTCCTTTATTTTATTTGTCTTCCCTTTTTATCTGGTCAGGTTGTCAGCGGATTTTGTTTGTACGAGAGGCCTGCTCAGCAGATTGCTCGTTTTGCCATTCGAACGGAACGATGAACTTGCGCTGATTGTTACCAAGTTCAGAGGCACGTACTTCTTATGTGAGGTCAATACACCTAAGCCATCATACCCCATGCAAGAAGAAATGTCCAAATGGGGCTACAAATTTGAACAGTATGTCACTGCAGGTAAGTCACTAATAGTCTGTACAACTGTAGGCCTACATTGTATCCCTTGGTGACAGTGGCGTCGCGTGGGTTGCAGACAAGGTGGTGCAGAATTGGAAAGTGAACAAATGGGCAATAGGCTTAGTAGCTACTATTAAGATTTCTAGAGAAAGTCAATTAGAATCTGCAGGATATCCCGAAAGCTACATCTATCAATATTTACAACTGTTTCTAGATGAAACCGCATAAAAGCTGCAATAAAGTGAAACAATACTAACAACTCACTATGCTCACAATCTGAGAAGAGCCCCAGGACTTGCTACACAGTAGGGCTGGATTCTGCTCGGTTAATCGAAGGCTTGCAAAGCAGCGGACGGCTCGCGCTAGAGGTTTGCGAGCAGGCTTGCGATTTGCTTTGCCTCCCGCTTGCTACCGGGGGGAACTTCCGGTGAGTTGTGACTCGCGGACAGTCCTGCTGTACTGTGTCGTGACGCTGCGAACCTTCGTTGTTGTGGGCTCAGTACATATTACAAAAGATTCTCTGGTTATTTGCGTTGAGAGGCTTGCACCAAAAGTGCAAGATCGTTAAAAAAAAATATAGTTCGGTTGTAAAAAACAAAAAGCTCTATTCAATGCACATAAAAATTAATATTGGATCGGCTATTCTTACGATGTTAAGGCCTGTTTATTTTTAATGTGCACGAGCCAAGCGCTTCATCGTCGCACGCAAAAGACCTCAGTTCGATTCCCGTATGCGGAGAAATTTTTACTGAGAACCTCCGTCTTTCTGCTTGGGCGTTGTTCCCTCTCAGCCCAGGTTGGTCCTGACAATGGGTTGAAGTAGGCCTAGCCCGTTTCCAAAATGTTTTGTTTTATGTCAGTGTGAGTGTAACACATCTACAAAATAGGTTACATACACACGATACAAAAGCCAATCACAACGACCCCTGGAGTTTTCCATTCTAGGGTAACCTAGGTCTCTGTTACTACAATACCACGCTCCCTCTCACTTATCCACTCGCTTAGCTGATCAACGACGGGGGGTTAAAAATAATTTCTCTCTCTTCACCAAAACAAGCCCAGCCTCTCCATTCCTCCACAGTTCAAAGTTCACAAAGCGAGCGGTACTGCTGCTTGAACACATCGAGCGGTCCTGCGGCGTGCCGCTCGCTCGCTGTATCGAGACAGCACAAGTCAGCAGGTCATGTTTGGAGCTTGTCCTGGGCTAATTCACTAGGCCTTAGCGCAAATCAGTACTGTGTGAATCGTGGGCCTTGTGGCTGCGGACGGGATTTGAGACTTGCGGCTGTCCGCTGCTTTGCAAAGCCTTCGATTAATCGAGCAGACTACAGAGCTACGCCGCGCAGTGACACCGTGGGCGGGATCTCTCACTCTCCCCCTCTCTCTTTTTCTGACGTAAGTGGCTTCGCGGATTGCAAGCAAGGTGGGGATGATGAGGAGGTCTGACACGAGTGGCTTCGCGGATTGCTAGTTGCTGTGGACTTGAAGTTTAGACTAGATCAAGGAGGTTACAGTTTGCGCTGGACTCAACTTATCATGCTGGTGATTTGATTTGATGATTTGACCTAGTGATTTGAGGCTTGTGACTTGAACTAGGGGCTTGCGAACACGAGCGGGTCTGCTACCAGGGTACAGTCCTACTACACAGTAGAGGGAGACTACAGTTTCGATACCCATTCTTCAATGAGTTGCCGTAGACTATACTATAGTGCGGTCAAAAATTCGTGGTGCGACTTATTTTCAAATATCTCCTCAACTATCTAACATAGGTTCTCCAATTTTTACACAATGACTTGTATCAATTTGTCTTAACAGATCAACATTTTTGTAAACACCTGCAAGCTGTATACTAGAAAATTCCGTAACAAATACTAATAAAAAATCCATGTGGGTGGTTTCTACAGAATTTTAAATGTTTACAGCTGTGGCAATATAGCTTTTAATAGCAAGTCCATCAGGCTTTTCTAATCGGGACATTATGCTTATTGAACGCATGTTTTGATAACCATTCGTACAAAGAATGTGTTCACTATAACAATAATTTCTTGTAACAAGTTTTACAAGTAAAAATTGTCATCGATGAGCTGTGACGTAGGCCATATGTGTAATCAAAATGTGTGTGAGAAGCGGGAAGTGCTGTGAACAATACCATTTTACGCGTGACAGAGATTTCAAGTATTTTATATAAATTTATGAAGAAAAATATTTTAATCTAGCCCCAATTGTTCTAGAAAAATATGAATTAGTTAAGACAAATTGATACCAACTGCTTTGCAAAGTATGGATGACATTGATTCTCCCGTTAAAGAGATGTTGGAGGATAAGTTGCACCACGAATTTTTGACCGCACTATAGTGTACATGTAGTAGATAGGCTCGCGGAAGCTTGGGTCAAATTTTTAGCTTGCACCAAATTGGTGCTGCGAAGAGTAGTTTCATGCACCTTTCTTCTTGTGAAGGAAGAACGATGCCCAGATTTCTCTTCAGTGACAAAAATAACTTTGGTGCAAAGATTTTGCTTGCTCCCAGCAGACACTACCACAAGCGGTGCGACAAGCATAAACCATCCTCGCTGTGTGTCTCTTCACAGCCAGCGGGTGACGGATCACAAGGTCTATGATGTAGTAGGCCTAATGTAGATCTAGAGCACTGGCTGGGTTTTAAACACTCAGAAAAAAAGGGTGGGGGGATGAAGGCCAGGGTTAGGTGAGGCGCTTGCACCAATAATGCACCAATGGCGCCCCGCCACTGCTTGGTGAATATGAATCTAGCAATATTATGAGATCCAAATAATTACTACTTTAAAAAAATTCACAAAAGTTCAAAAAGCAAGGACATTGTGATTGTACAGTTTCGCAATTTTTCAGGTACCTATGTAAGGGTGCGATGGCGGAGCGGTTAGTGCGCTCGTCTCCAAAGCGGAAAGTCTGGGTTCGAGCCTTGGTTCAGACAATGATTTTTTCGCCCCCTCTTGCCCACCCAGTTCTGATTTCGAGTTGGGGAAGTAAAGGCGGCGTGGAAAGGAACTGTCCACTCTATCACAATATACCGAAGGCCCAAGAACTTGTCTCACTAACGAGCCGATCCCCAAAGTCCAGATCCGATGCGGGAATAATTTTTTACAACTTATTTTCTCATTAAATGTTTTTGATTCTGTTACCTAGTTTGCCTTAAAGTTGTACCACAACTTCAACTGTATCGAAGTTCCCGGTTTACGAGTTTCCCAAGAACAGTACTAAGCTCTGTTTGTTTGAGCTCATTACTGAGAAGTCACCAGCTCTTCTATCTTTTCGGTTTGCTTTTTTGTGATACAGAGACGGAGAAAGAGAAACAAACAGACAGGAAGAGGGAGAAAAGAAAAAGAAAGGGACAAAGTTCAAGGGAGGGAGAGAGATTCTATACTGTTGTATTCTTTTTTTGTGTGGTAAGTTTAATGGCGCTCGCAACTGCATACTACGGTCATATGAGCGAACCAAACATTTTCAGATTGTAGGAAATTTTGAATTTTGGCAGGGTGGCGGCCGAAACCTACTCTTATCGATTGTAGACCACCAAGGGATCTTTAACGTGCGCAATGTGCACAAGGGACCTTTTAGATTTTCCCATTTGTCCGAGAAAGCTAGGTGTAGATCTTTCCTACCCCCGAAGATCAGGGATGTGGCTGAAAGACAGCGCTAAGAAGGAGCCAAGGAGTAGCAGTAGAAAGGCGGCAGAAAGCGCCAGGAGCTCTGAGGAGGGGGTAAAGGAGGTGAAGGGGTGAGGGCAGAAAGTGGTGATGAAAGCAGACGACAGAGCATTGATAGAGAGCAGGAAAGGAGGGAAAGGAGACAACATCAGAGAAGAAAATTTTTCAGTTTCTACCTGGATTCGAACCCGGGACCTTTGAAGAGAGGCAAACATCTTAACCTCTTGGCCACGAGAGCCCCCACTGTATTCTTTGTATCCTGAAGAAGTTTATATATATATATATACTGCTAATTCCTTCCAATGGAGGATCAAGAAAAATGTGTTAAATATTGTCTTCTTTCCCCCATGATCTGTGGTTCATGTCGTGATAATCACTTACTTTAGTTTCAACTTTCTGTTGCAGACAAAGAAACAGGGGAACCAGATCTCTCCAAGCCCATCAATACAAATGAACATTTCTATTCTGTGCTGCGCTCTCAAATAGGGCCACATTCACTGGGTAAGCTGACGAGTCGAATTCTAGCAATAGTTTTAACCAGCTGCTTGCACTGTATGCTTCCCGAGAAGCTGAGAATGTTTCTGAGTGTTCTATGGTCTGCTGGGGTAATAATATAGTGTTTAGCGCATAGAGCTTGCTTTCTGGAGGGGATATGCGCTATACAAATGCTATTTAATTATTATAATTATTATTTTAATAGGTACCGGTACTCAAAACCGGCTTTCTTTTAGCGTACTTGAGGGAAAGGTGCCGGTTTTCGCACAATTTTATCAATAGTTACAAAGTCTCTAGATCTATTCACTGCATGGGAAAACAAATGAAGCTCCCAAAAAGAGTGTGTTTTTGTTGTTACTTTCATACCAATGACAGTTATGAAAGAAGTTGTGTTTGTTTTTGAATAAATCAAAACTCGCGTATTGGCTTGTTGTTCCAACGAACAGTGCCCACTTGAATGGGATCGGTGGATCGCCCGACTCAGTCGCCTCAAAAACAAACGTGTTTGTTTTCAGTTTCAGGCGACCGAGTCGGGCGACCGGCCCGATCCAGCCGTAGTGGGCACCCCCTATAACGAGTCGGGCGACCGGCCAGATCCAGCCGTAGTGGGCACCCCCTATAACGAGTCGGGCGACCGGCTAGATCCAGCCGTAGTGGGCACCCCCTATAACGAGTCGGGCGACCGGCTAGATCCAGCCGTAGTGGGCACCCCCTATAACGAGTCGGGCGACCGGCTAGATCCAGCCGTAGTGGGCACCCCCTATAACGAGTCGGGCGACCGGCCAGATCCAGCCGTAGTGGGCGCCCTGTATTAGGTTGACAAGGTGTCAGAAAAATCCTGCTTTTTGTTCCGTGGGTGATATCTAAGCTAATGAGAACATTTCGAGAGTGAATCATTGCATGAAACTTTGAACATTTACCGATAAGCTACAGTGAGTGTATGGTGTGGTGATATGATGCACAATCAGTACCTAAGTATTCAAAGGCTTGTGAAGTCTTCTGTAGTCCCAAAGGTTGCTTTTGCTTTTGCAAGCTGTAGGTACCCCCCCCCTCTTTTCATAAAAAAACAAACAAACTGGACAATAATGAGCCCAGCAAGACCTCTTTTTTGTCATGCCTTTGTTTACGTTCCATGTATACTTGACTACAACCCCTGTCCTTGACACCCGAGGGAAGAACACCAACTGGGGCCATATGACGAATTTTTAAACGAGATTACTAATTTTCCATTTGTTGATTCCTAAAACATAAGCTGGAAATGCCTGTGAGTGACATTCTATGGTGACAATTTAAGTCTCACTTTTGAGAACGTTGGTATTCCAGCCAGTTCCACATAATTTTCTTCTGCTTTGGACCGTAATAATAGTAACATGTTCAAAATGGCTTTACCCAGCCCACAACTCGGACAGGTTTTCCCCTGTGTGTGTCCCAGTGGTTTTATGCACCCCGCATATTTTAGCAAACTTTGATCAGTTTTTGCATAATTTCTGATAATTTTCTTTTATCATTCTTTGTTGAAAGTGACAGAATGGCATCATTTCACATTTCTTGGCTCAGTTTGCATAATTTCCGAATTTTTCTTGCATAAAACGACGGGACAGATTTCTGTTAGTCTAGCCTGCACGTGGTCTCTGAAGGCTGGGTGGTCACTGGGGTCCTGTAGAATGGTATAATGGGCTGGACAGATGTCCTGTTAGACAGGTGGCTTCCATGAACGGGGTTTGAGTTATGGTCACTGGCTAGACTTGACAAAGGGAACAAAGGGAGGGCTGTGACCGATGTTTCTGAAGTAAAGTAGAGCCCTGTTTTTGTAAAAGATGTTTTCTGATTGGCTCAATGGACGAAGAGCATTTATGCAACGAAAACTACACGACCTATAGTGTGTTTGGGAAAAAGATACAGAGATTTGAAACTATTATAAAAACAAACTATTGTCCTTGGTGAGGCTGCAAATGGTGGAGGAGGGGTAGTAGAGCTCCTCGGCTTTTATGAATTTGTTTTATTGTGCGCATTGCCACGAAACTCTTAATATCAATATCGTCGCTGTTGCAAGCAATCCACTTAAGTCAAAATTTTGAGAGATTTTTTTTTACATCCTCCGAAAGCTCTATCAGAGATGCACCTTTCAACATCACTTTACTTTTCAGATCCAACATCACAAAAAATGCAGATTAGTGCTATGGTCAACGCTTACAATTTTCTTGCTTTTTATGATTCTTAATTGGAACAACTCAACAAAAACTAGTTGTTTTTTTGTGTCTTTGGTGTGAAAAGTACCTTAAATGTATTATTGTTTGCATCACGGATGATAGTATGCTTCAACTTTTGTGTCTTTCTCTAGTTTGTCGTGGGGAGGTGGACTGCGAGGATCTTACACGAGAAGAAGGGGACAGATATGTGGAGCTGAAGACCTCTGTACTCCAAGATACTCCGAAACGTAAAATAAATTTCCTGAGGTAATCAACCTTACTTCGTGCTTGGTAATCTTACTTTGTTCTCTCCACACTTGTTGTTGTTTTCAAATCCCTATAGCTGCGAGCATTTCGCTCTGGGCAGCGTAATGTCTCCCTCAAGTAACTACATGTCCTTGTCATCTGGTCAACGCCAGAGTAGAGCAGGCTTTCTCTTCACACTTAACACCACCAAAAAAAAATAAATCCCAAACGAGGAATTTTTATGAGGAAGCAGTTAACCCTGGATAGAGAACAAAACCATGAAGATAAATATTCCTAAATAATATGGAGGGTTTTTTTTTGGG